GCACACTACTTCTGTCCTCACAAGCACAGAAAAATCCTAAAATACACAGAATTGCTCCCAGGGGTTTCACATCCCTGTGCGAAGTGTGTGAGCAACGCATGGGGGCACACAGCTGGGTGCGGACAGGCACGGCCAGGGGTGCTTTCTGACTCCCTACTTCACACCTCCTAATGGATGTGATGGGTGAATCTCGCTCCAGGACTTCCAGTTGGGTGGGGTCTTGTCCACCATCAGGTCCTGCATGCTGGAGGCAAGGTTTGGGCAAGATCCTGGGCTTTCTGAAGGAGCGGGGCTCTGTCGGCAGTGCTGGGGAGGGGCAGCAGGGGCAGCAGGTTCCGTCCCAGGTCGTCAGGAACACTCCCGATGAGGGGTTGTTCTTTTCAGGACTGCTTTGGCCATGCCGATTAAGAACAATCACATGCTTGTTTTTTTTCCACAGAAGCCACAGCTCCTGGTTTTACCAGCATGCACGGAGGGGAGGGAGGGGGACAGACGGGTGGGCTGTTCCACTTCACCAGCAAACAGAGCACCAGAGCATCCTCACGATGATGCTCAGTCACTAGGATTATCATCATCCCTGATCTGATTTTTCCAGTCAAGTGCAAGGGAGAGGCACCATCCAGATGTGGCTCGGCCCTTGGGAGGTTTGAACTGCTCCTGAAGATGCCCACCCCTGCTGGGGGGGAGCTGCGGGTAGGCAAGCAGGGTGAGTCTCAGCATTTTTGGCTCCTACCTGTGACAGCCCATCCCAAACTGGCACTTTGCAAGTTCCCCACTCCCCCGCACCCCCAGTAGCTGCCACTGTCCCCACAGATGCAGCTGGGGAGGCCAGGAGGGGGCACCCCAGGAGGGCCATCTGGGGGGCACGAGCAGGGAGTTCTGCTGCCAGGCTGGCTGCTGTGGGCAGGGGAGGGAAGGCTCGCGCACAGGTGAGCTTTTGGGTGGCTTTTCCTCACCCAAAGAACCCATGTGGAGTGCAAGGACCATGGTCAGGCATGACTTTGGGGTCTTGGTGGGACAGCATGAGAGGGTCTGACAAAGGCCCAGCAGCACGGGAGCGTGGGAAAGGCCATGGGGATGCCCGGGCTTGATGCACAGTGCATGTTCAGGGCAGCTCCCTTTTGTCTCTTGCTTTGAGCTGAGGAGACATGTCTGAGGAATAGGACTTGCACCGCATGAAGATTGGGCCATCAGGGATGGCGAGAGGCAGGCGTCTGCTCCCCCCCTTGCTGCAGAACGCAGGTGCTTAGAGAGGAGGAGGGAGGGAAGGGTGGGCACGGGAGGTTTGCCAGGCACCAAAGCAGCTGGGAGCTCCTGGAGAGAAGACACATGGCACGTGTGGGCAGATTGACAAGCTGAGCCGCTCAGAGGCTTCTCAGCCCTGCACGCATGTGCCCAGGGCTGGCTGCCAGCACCTCTGAAATGATTTTTGCCCAGCCAGCAGCTGAAAGAAGGTGCTGTTCAACAGGGGCAAATTCATGATCATCTGAATTTTTGCTCCCACCAGCCAAGCCTTGGTTGCAGACTTTCCTGGCTGGGACCAAGACTGGGATGATAGAGCTCTCCAAGTGTCCAGTGGCACAGCCTAACTGCCTTCAGAGGCCTTCCCACCAGCTGAATGGCAGCAGAGCACTCGAAACTGTGGCTTAGGGGACTTGAGACTAAGTGCTGAACCGGTTGGGCCCTGAAATTTGTCTTCAGAGCTGAATCTGAGATCTGCCATAGTCTGGGGAGGTCTAACACATCCTGCTCTGAGCTTAGGCCAAATAAGACCCAAGTACTTTGGCGTCTCAGTGTGCTTGAATTGGATGTGCTTCTTCAAGTCCCCTTACACGCTGTTTTGCTGAAGCTACCCAAGCATTAAATAAAGACGGTGCCTCTAGGCCTGTTTGTGACAGAAAAGCAAAGCCTGTGACACTGTTGTCCCCCAGGCACTACAGGAGCTGCGTATGGCAGGGAGGACCACATCCCTGTTCCCCATCTGCCCCCTCCCGCTCCACCGTGAAACGTGAGTGAGCTCTGGGCCCACCACCACGTGCCTGGCATGGCTGTCCTCAAGTGCAAACTCCTCTGGGCTCAAGGAGAGAAATCCCCCTTCTTCAGCCCCTTCATCCCAGCCACATGTAGGGGAGAGCTTGTCTTCATTGCAGTGCATGATGCCCATGGGGCTAAGGACCTGAGCCCGCAGTCAACTTTCAGAGCTACCCCAGTCACACCCAAACCAGCTGAACACGGCCAACAGCCAGGACAGGCAATTGCACGGAAATGGGTCTCCAATTCACGTTAACAGCTCCAAACTGAAAGTTGCCAGAGGCTAACTAGAGAAGTTTTGAGAGTCTGAGTAAAATTATCTTAATGGCTTAACAGTATAAACACACTGACTCATGACATTGAGGGTAGAATAACTGTCTCCTGAGAAGCGTGGTCACAGAGGCTGGCTTCTTCTCCACACGTTTGCCTTGGGATGGGGAAATCTGCATGAGAAGGAAATGAAGGTTCTGGCTCTGTGGTTTGATAGCACTTTAGTGATATTTTCTGGCAGGATTTGCAGAGCTATTGCCCGCCTGTCTGTACTCCTCTATATATTTATTTACTTAAATATTTTGTACCTATTTATTTATTAATATATATTATAACATCTATGTATATATAAATACTACCTCATATATTTATAAGCCACCTTTTTCTTCCTCAACTCAGCATTGCTCGACTCCATCTGCAGTTGGACCAGATGCCCAGGTGCTCTCAGGCGAAGGCAGCATCACGAAGGCCCTGATCAACTTCATGTGAAAATCGATATACAGTGTTTGGAAGAGGCTGTCCGCTGTAGAAGACATGATGAGGGAGCAGGGTGTCCCCAAAGAGGCCGGAGAAAGCCCCCGGATGCAGCAGCAGTCAGGGTGACAGGCGTCCTGTGTCAGGAAAGGGATGCTGTGTCTGGACAGCTTCAGAGAGCAAAGCCTGGAAGGGCTGAAGATGGTCACGGATGAAAGGAAGGAGACCCCAAAGCCAACTGAACCGTGCTTGGCCTCTGCAGGGAGGGGAGGACAGAGGATGACAAAACCAGTGACTCCTTTCTGTTATCTCCTTGCAGCTCTGCGGTGCTGTTCACCAGGAGACCTTCCACCACCCAGGAGCCACCACCCTGCCCGCCTCCTGCAAGCACCCCTGAGTCATCATCCACTCCCACCGCCCTGCCTGGGCTCTGCACCTCAGGTGGTTGAATACCAGCCTCACTGGGACACGTCATCCCAGCCGGAACATCGCCGCCAGCCTGCAGTGCATTGCAGCCTTCCTCCGGCCTTCCTCCTCCAAGCATCATCCTTCCCGCCTTCGCAGGAGCAGGGGGTCAGACCTGTGTTGCAACCCAAGATATTTTGCAGGGCAAGCAAACATGAGAGGGGCTGTGCAAAGGTGGAGATAGCTGCAGGAGCACCCATTTCAACACCATCACCCCCCTCCTCCCACCCCTTTTCTACTAGCATCCTTTGGCTGGCTTCTCACACCAACATAAGCCTTGGTGACCTAAATCACCTTTTTTTTTTTGGTCATACTGTATGCAAAACCCATCCACGCATATACCAGATTGGTCAGAAGGTGAGATCTTACGTGTCTCGTGACTGGGGCAGGGGGGCAGGAATTTTAAGCAGTGCCACTAAGAAAAAAATGTAAAACAGAGGAAAACTGGAGTTCCAACCCACACCTGCCTGTGGGTGAGGCAGAGGATGGCTCTTGTGTGAGGGAATTTGCCACTTTGAAAGCTTGGGAAATCAGTCAGAAGACATGCTGGGAGTGTAGGAAACGACAAATGGGTCTCTCTTAATCACACCAGGACAGGGAGATAGATGAAAAGAAATATTAAGCTGTGAAAAATCTTTTTTTCTTTAATTTATTTTCCCCTATGACATGCAATGAGCATGCCCCCGAATTCCCAAAGGCCAAAATACATCAACGGATACAGACAGCAAGAATTTCCAGATTTGTTAGAATTAATGGCAGTAAAAGCGTCAGCAGGTACCTTAAACTCGCCACTTTGGGGTGCAGGAAACACTTGAGCCAGCTGAAGTGGGGAGGAGGAAGGTGGGGAGGCAGCGCCAGTTCCAGCCCTTCTCCAGCCTCCCTGTTCCCGTGGTGAGGTGGGCAGGGAGCTGATGTGTCTCACTTTGGTGTTCCCTGAGTTTGGACATGGACCCCGGGCAGAGCCTGGCAGCCATGGCCGCTGCAGCAGCGCTGCCCAGTGCTCGCCCTTCCAGCGCAGCAGCCACTCTCCCAGTGCAGGGGAGGGCAGAGCTGTGGGCAGAGGTGGTTGTGTTTAGTTTTGGAATGGCTCTGCCGCTAACACAAGCCTCTGGCTGGCATCTCGGAGTAGAAGTGGTGGTACCGTCCTATTAGCAACCCGTCCCATGCAGTGGTGCTCACACCAAGCTGGTTTCACTCCAATAGGCCCAGGACCTCTGTTTTCACTCTTTCTGTAGCAGATTTGGAAGTCCTAAGAAGCCAAGCTACTAGGAAAAAAAACGTGACAGCTTTCTGAGGTGCTGGAGAGTATCTCAGTACAAAGTCAAGCTCCCAGCTACGCTTCTTGTTTGAGCTTAGACAAATCAATAAACCTTTTTGGGCTTTTCTATCTTATACATAGGATCATTGATTCCTCTGCCTTCCTATTCCTTCTTCCTCTTGTCTGTTCACAGTGAGCACATCAGGGCAGGCTCTATTTCATTCTGCAGGTACAAACCTTCTCCAGCTCAAGGTGTTGCTGAAACCCTGCTGCTATCACAAAGATGACACAGGATCAGCAAAGGTCCCTACCAGGAGCAGCAGCAAGGAGTGGAAGAAAGCCAAAAGATTGTCACCCCTGTTCATGTCTTAGGGAGCAAGAACTTCAGGCTCTGACCCACCTCTCTTTAGATATACTCACTGTGAGCACTGCCTTGGCTTGTCATCATGAAAGAGAGCCTGGCCAGATCCACCACGTGCAACTGCTGCAGAAGACCTCCCCTCTAAATGAGCAGAGGATGCCATTTAGCTATGGGCTGCTGGACAGTCTTGATCTTGAGGTCCCAGTGGTCAGCCGCTTCCCTCGCTCTTCTCTTCCCCAGGGTGGTCTGTCCAATGAGAAGCTCGGAGTTTGCATCCACTTCGTAAATGGGGACCAGGACCGTGCGGTCCCACGCTGGAGGCTCAGGCGTGTGGAAGAGGACAGGCTTGTTGGCTCGTTGAAGATGGTGAGCAGTGAGCAGGCCCATGGCCTGGACTTCTGGTGCTTTTTTCTGTGGCGTCTGCAGGAAACATCTATCCTCATGTATATATCTGGGATGGGGAAGAGAAAGGAGAAAAGAAACACTGGGGTATCTATGTCTGTACCAGAGCTGGGCCCTTCAAACATAGACATAACATTGCATAAGGTAGTCATGCTGGAAAAGGGCTGTGTGCTGATTAGAGCTGAATATTACAACTGATCAGGCTTGATTCCACATTCCTCAAAGCCAGTAACAAGGCTTGTGGTGGCTTCAGTACTGCAGGAAATCAGACCACTTGGCCAAGGCAAGCACATCTTGGGAGGTACATAGCTAGTAGGACCTAGCAGGATCTTGCCATCCTGTAAAAGTAGAGCATGATTTAATGAGGACTACCTCAGTGTAGCCTCTGTAGTTGTGGAACAAGCTCTGAAGTTAGTAGAAACAGAGTGACAGAGGAAAGGGTTTACTCACATTTGCCCCGTAAGTGCTTATGCTAAATCCAACACCTGCAGCAAAGCTCTGAAAGAAACAACAAAACAAAGCTCCTGCCTTTGCAATCGCTGCATTTATTTAGCAAAATGGAGAATGTGGCTTTAGAGGTACAGACAAGAAGATCATCTGAGCATTTAAGACTCTGGTTCAGCCCAGGAGAGACCAGCTCCAGAATTCAAAGTCTGCTGTGCTTCTCCCAGTCCCAGGGGTAAACCTTGGACATACAACTAAGAGGGCAAGCTGGACGTAAAGTGAGGCAAGTGAAAGGGCTGCCGACCTTCTCGCTTTTTACATGCTGAGCCCTACAGAAGGAAAATGGCCGGATCTTCCCCTCCTTCCATTCCTCCAGCTAGCTGGATGGTGCAGGGGAGAACCCCACGTAGTACAAGGACCCAAAATTTGAAGCATTGTGTTGTGCATCAAATGCTGGGTTACAGGAGAAAAAGGTTGCTCTACCTCAGCCTTCTCAGGATAGGGAGATGTCTACAGCTTATCTGCAATGCAGAGCTTCTCTAAGGCTGCTCTCAAGTGTCCATGGCCTCACAAGGCCATCTCATCAGTGGAGACTGAAGGATGATAGTGATGCTCTGGTTACAGCCCAAGGGGCACTCTGCTCCCACCCCAGGGCATCCTCAAGAGGAAAAACAGATTGGCTCTATACTGAGGGCAATGGGACTGTGATGAACTTTGGTCTTCAGGTCTCTGCAGAGCAGAGAAAGGGGATTCAAGTCCTGTGACAGAGCAAAAAGGAGTGGAAGACATTGCCAGAGAGAAGTAGCTGGGTGTTTCATTAGTGCAACGAGCCGACAAAAGCAGCTCCATGTCAAAACCCACAGAGTCTACATCAGATGGCCACCCTGCTGAGACGAGCTGGGGGCTAAGCACCAGATCACGGCCGTGTGGCAGCTTTCTGGTGGGCAGTGGGTGGAGACAGCGAGGTCAGTGCTCCCAAGGGAAGGTGATTCTTCACAGAAGTGTGGGTTGGTGTGGAAGTCCCTGCCACAGGGTGCTAAATGTTAGCATGGGCTCAAGGGGAGACTGAAGGAGCGCAGGGAGGAGAAATCTATTGGGGATTTCTAAATACAGAGCAACCAAGGCCAGCTCAAGCAACCTCTAAGCCACGACTTGGAAGAGTCAGGGGGTGTGTGTGGGGGGAGTATTGCTCACACCTGTTTTCTTCCCATACTACTTTGTCCTCTGTCAGAGACAGTCGGGAGGCTCAGCAGACTTATGGTCTGGTCCGGCAGCACTTGTTGGGATGCGATGGGCATGCAAAGGGACCTTTCTCTCCAACACCTCCCTATCCCTCTGGGTGGGTAAGATAAAGGTAGCAGGCAGCAGACTAAAGACAGGACCAGCAACAAGAGCAGATACAAAGCCCTTATCTGCAGGGCTTTGCAAGTTTTTGCCTTGAGCAGCCTGACCTCTATCCTCTGAGAGATGGGAAAGCACTGTAGTGACACAAGCACCTCTCCCACAATGTCCTGCGAAAGGCATATGGGCATGTGGTAAGCAGAGCTCCAGTGCAACGACCTCTGCAGCCACCAAGGCCACGAGTCACCCTTCCTGCAGCTCATGGGTGTGCTCCTGGGGCCTCAGCAACAGACACTGCAGGGCCACCACAGCACGATGGCCACATCCTGCTCTTCAGTGTTTTTCTTGAGACTGAATTTTAGCTTTTTAACTTTTTAACAACTGCCAGCATCTGCTGTTTATTTGTTTGGTGTGGCAGTTTCCTGTTCTCCTAGGAAGGAGTAGAAGAACCCCTGTTCTCCTGTGTCTGGATAATGTGGATGTAAGGGTGTCTTCTGAGTTCTGAGTCCAATCAAACACGACTGCATGAAGTAGTGCAGTACAGATTACCTCCACCTGCCTAAGTGTTAATTTTATGGTACTAAAGTACTAATTCTTATGGCACCATGGTGTTTTTTTCCAGAGGGCCACAGGAAGCTCCAGGATGTAGGCTTTGCCATGTTAGGGTACTATGAGAGCTAGGTCTGGAATTAAATCCATGTTGCTCACATTTTACATCAGCCCCCCATGTATAAGGCATGAATAGATGTTTCTTACAAACAGTTAATTGTTCAGGTTGCTGGACTAGAGATGCCACTTTTTCTCTGTTATAAAATACACAACTGTCATTAGCAACCACTTAAATTACACCTCTAACATTTAAAAAATTGTTATTGATTTCTTATTGGAACACATCACATGTTTTCATTTTGGGCCATCAGTCTCTTTAATTAAACCAACTGGCCACCAGTGTCATGCAGAGCGAACTGTTATCTCTGTTAGTGGAGAAGGGAGAAGGTGCTGCAACATAAGCTTGGTCATCAATATGCTTTCATCCTTCCCTGGAGACCTCACCTTTAAGATGCAATTTCAAACTCCATCCCTGTAAAGCCTTGTCTTCCTGCAGATCCTACCTGAGAAGTGTGCTGGGAGGAGAAGTGATCTGCTACCATAAACACCACACAGATGGTGCCCAAGGATGCAGGGTGGGGATTTTTCCTTAATAAAATTAAGGGATGGCTGTATTGACATGCACCTACCTGGCCCTTTTGTGGGCACACAGGGCAAGGCCATGTGATGGAGTCATCACCTCTGTAGTCTTCTGGCAGCTTTTCACATAAAACCAAGCTTTGGGAGGCCTTTAGCTCATTCAGGGTAACCCTGACTTCCCCCAGCACAGTGTTCATGGAGTGTTGTTGAACCTGTGGGAGAGTGGGAAAAAGTGTGCCCATAGGGGTGAGGTGCAGGATGGAGCTGTGCCACAAGGGCATCCACATGGACCACAGCTGAACCTCATGCAAAGGGAGCTATCTGCCTTTAGGGCCTGTTTTCATGTGTTTCCATTTTCTCCTATGGGCTTTTGGGGGAGTCAGGATTGGGCTGCCACGATAGCAAAGAAGGCCCATGCTGAGGAGTAAAATTCAGATACTTTCTTGCAGCGGTATCACCTGAAAAAACTCCTGCTATGCTTCCACCTCTGCTAACACCCGACTGCTCTTGGACATCCACCTATTGGAACGTCAAGTGGCATTACCTCGTGCTGTCCCCTTTCTCAGACCAGCTTGGACAGGCTGGGTGAAGGCCACGGCGCCTCTCATCTTGCCGAGTCCTGCCCTTCGTCCGTGCAAGGCTTGCTCCCTGCCAGGGCTGGCCGGAGGAGTGGGCAGGTGCTGGAATCCCCTTACCCAAGGGCATGTCCTCTGCCAGCTGCCCGCACTCGCTTCATGACAGCTTGGGGTTGTCATTGCGTGTGCTCACGCACAGCTTCAGTCCCCTCTTTGTGTCCCCCTCTTCACAGCTGTTTCTCCAGCACGTGGCTCTCCATTTCCCACATCTGATCTAAGCTCCTTGGCTTTGCTGCTTGCTGCCACATGAAAACTTCATGGCCAAATCAAAGGGGCTTTGAAGTAATGTGCAACTGGACACTTGTCAAGGAATGTAAGATCTGTAGCAACATGTGGGAACCCCCATTCAGGTTCAGACCTACAAGGCGTCTAGTCCACTGATGTTTTTTGCAATAGCAACTGCTGGCTTCTCCTGCGAGGAGCAAAACCTGCTAGAGACCATTAAAGATTATGCCTCCCCGGGAAGGCCATCTATCCCTGGTTGGTTACACCTCTAGCTAACACCTCGAGGCCCTCTGGCTTGTCTTTGTCCTGCTGTTAGTGCAACTCCAGATTTCTGGGTGATTTGCTTCCCTCTGCCTCCAGATGAGCTCCTGGGCACCACAGAATAATGTGGTGAGGGGTCCAAAGCACCAGACTTAGGCTTCACGCCCTTCCTTACTGCCAGCTCATGGTGTCATTTGCAGGGAATAATTGGTTGGAAAATGACCTGTCGGCTGTGGATTTCACCAGTAACGCCTTCACCGCTGTCCCCTCAGCACACATTTCAAATCCATCCCAGTCTAGATGGACTTGCAACTATCTGTTGCCAATGGTATACATCTAAAATCCCTGGGCATTCACAGGTACATCTGTGGTGTTACATCTGCAGCTAGACCCAAACCAGCTCTAAATGAGACAAGTCAGAAGCAGCCAAGCTTAATAAAAGAGTCACGGAAAAGAGGCTAGGAGTAGTTGCAGGCTGCTTCTGCTCATCATGTTGTCTTCATCAGAGCTAGCTCCACTCTCCTGGCACCATATGATATCCCCCAGCTCCCACACTGCAGTGCCCAGCATTTACCCCAGGCCTCAGTTTTTGTGTCGCATCCTGCTGCAGGGCTGTGCATCCCAACCCATTTCCACAGGAAATGCCTGTGGCAAAGGATGGGAGAACAGAGTACTGGGAAATACAGCTTTCAGGGCAATCAAACCCCTCCCCTACATCAGTGCTGCAGAGCCCCAAAATAAAATGCACAAGAAATAAGCAGGGCACCCCTTTGAAAGCTCAAGCAGATTCTAGACTTTCTGACCCTTATGGCTACGGCTGATGGTAATTGGAAATCTTGGTCTTACCCATGTCACCAACGGGCCAGCCTCCTGGCTGGCTGTACTCTGAGGGGACCTGGTGACTAATCCTCTCGATGTTCCTCAGAGTGGTGAGGGAAGGAGACATCTCCAGAAGCCATTACACATTTCTTCTCTGGTCAAGACACCTTTCTTTATGTCTACTGAGCTAGCACCACGTCTCACCTCCAGCTTCAGGGTGCTCTTCTCCACCTTGGCATCCTGCAGGGAGAAGACAAAGTGCTCCCCAATGGCTGGCCTGCTGCTGTTCTTCACCACCCAGCTTTGCCACTCCTGGACCATGCACTGGAGCGCTGGGTATGCGGGATGGGACCTGCCTCAGCAGTTGGACCCAGGCAGCATACTCAGCACACCCATGGCTATACAGCCCCCGGGCCTCCAGGCCAGTCAGAAGTAGCTTACATTGCTCTCTGGGGTGGAGGAGGGAGAACTTCAGTGTGCCCTGAATCACTGCTCATGCTGCTGAGGTCCTTGATCCTGCTGGAGGAGGAGATGAGGCAGGTGCACGGCTCGTTCATCTCAGTTCGTAACACACCTCCACCTAAGGAAAATGAGGACAAGGGGAAAAGAGAGATAAGGGTCTTAATAGTCTGGTAGTGTTGAACTTCCCTCCTGTTCCTACGGTGCAGGAAGAGAAGAAGGGGTGATTAGACCTAGTGCCTTTGCAGTAGAGCCAGGGGACCCTTGACAGCTTGTGTTGTACCACCAGTGCCCTGCGTGCTCCCCTCTCTGGGCAGGCTGGCCCTCCAGCATAGCACAAGTTTCTGGTCCTGGTGCAGATCACAGGGAAGAAAGAGCTGGAAGAGCCTGGCCTCGCTCAGGAGCTGTGTGTGGACAGTGGCTGGAGAGCGAGCGAAAGGCCCAGCAGAACCCAACAGCCCTGCTGCAGCAGGGTGAGCAAGCGCGCCAACGCAGCTGCTCTCCTCGCCGCCCCGCTCATGCAGGATGGGCTCTCATTTGGCCTTTTTCCCCCTCTTGCCATGCTTTTCTTTCTGGCGCTGGCTGTTCTTTTAATTAGAGGTGAGCAGCTGCAGCCCCCTAATAGCCATTTTGTCCCTCGCAGCTGCCAGTGGTATTTGGGTGCTGGCTCCTCTCTCGTGTGGCTGAGCTGGCTCTCCCGCTCCGCAGCGCTGCACAGCACAGCTGCCTGTCCAGGCTTCCTCCTCCTGCAGGGAGCCCTGGCCAGCTGCGGGAAGGTCACCAGAACTTGAGGAATTCATTTTACTGGAAAGCATGGCCAGTATCAGAGACACAGGCTGGAGGTGGAGAAGAAACTGGGTCCCTTCAGTTATGGGGGAGGAAGAAGGGATAGGAAAAGTTTGCAATTGCTCCTTTTTCAGGAAAAAAATTAAGCGACAGATAAAGCAGAGGCAAGTAGAAGTCAAACTTCTGATCAAGTGAGAAGAGACTTTTTGCAATGGTGTCCCTGGGAACTGCTCTGCCAGTGTTTTCACTGCCCTCAGCAACAGATTTCTTAAGCTCTGCAGCTCTCCTTAACGCCCCTGGAAACAGGAGCAAAGGTCTCTGTCGCACACTGCGATACCCATCTGTGAGTCTTGCTTGCAGCCTGAAGAGCTGAAGCATCCCAGCAGCCCTAGTTATGAGAGGTCTAAATCTGAATTTGCCATCCAGAACTTACCCAGACTCCTTCTAGTACCCTCTGGGAGGCTGCGTGGCAATGGAGGGTGGGCCCTGAGTGCCCAGGTGCTCTGGGTGGGCTGCAATGCCTGTGAAATCACAGCAGTGGGGCTGGCTGCTGATGTGATGCACGAGTGCTTTGCCCCCACTTTCCCACCTCTAGCAAAGAGCAGCCAAGAAACAGTGCCCAGCTTCGGATAAGAGCTGTTCCAAGAAATTGCTGCTGGTTTATACATTCCAAAGCAAGCTTTAAAGCAGAAATGAGTTTAGTCCAACTTCCTGCACAAAATCCCTGAATATTCATGATTTCTTCACCTTGGAACAAGTTGATGTTCATAACAGGTATTTCCTTCTATGCTTTCTCATCATGGATTGTATTACCTGTACCTTTGGTGCAGAACCCCATGCAGCTGCTGGGGAACTGCAAACCACACCACCAGCAATCACTGCCGGAGATGAAGCAATAGCAAACAGCAGGAGGGGACTGGCAGAAATATTCTTCTGTGGGTGAGACCTAAAGCTCAGTCTAAATAAACGCTTCCCAATAATTTGTGTCCTGAAAAAAATAGGACTAAGAGGAGCCTTTAAAACTGCCCAAGAAATTTAACTCACTACTAACCTGCAATGAGATACTGTCCTTAGACCAGTGAAGCTCCTTCTTCCACCAGCAGGCTCAGCAGACCCCCAAAACCTCCAGGCAAAGCACATAGCCAGATTTTGCCCAGAAATATGACTGCCCATAACAACTCTCTGCTCACCCAGTCGGTACAAAGTCACCAGTACAGACCGCTGCCCAAAGCCTCACTCACCGGTGATCTTTGGGCGTGCTCTTGGCAGGGAGGCTGAAGTATTGGATGTCCGTCCTGGGGAAGGGAAGCGGTAACTGAGCCGAGGCTACCATAGCACCAGTGAGAGGAACAGCACGTTTCTGCCGGTGCAGAGCGGCCTCTCATCAGGACGGGATGATTCTGGAGAATCCGTGAGCCTGTTAGGTAACACCTTGGCGTTACCAACTAGACCCTGACATCCTTCTGCGATAACGTCCTGAAGGCAGAGGCGTATTGCCTGCTCCCTTGTAAGGGCATGAGTGAGCAAGGGAGGGACAGGGGGCCCATGCACTGACTGGCTTGTCCTAGAAAAGCCTCCTGTTGTTGTCAACCACCACTGACCTTTCCATGTGTGCAGTGGACACTCACACTTTCAGTCAAACTCATTAACTGGCTGTCATTCACCTGAGAGAAGTTACTTTTAAGAACTCGCATCTGAATTATGGGAGAGATACTTAACTAAGAGCACACAGTGCAACTGAATGCCTCTATAACCACCATGCCCAGCCCAGTACTCGTGGACTTCGATTAAAGCCAGCTTCCCCTTACAGTAGGGCTGGTATAAAGACAGCTGCTGCCCAGCATTGCTACGTGAGCCGGACCGCATTCATGTGAGCAACTCCTCTGCTGTCACACAGCAGGGGCAGGAGAGGCTTGAAACTGCACGTGCACCTCCCTGTCCTCCCCACGGCCCCATCACCTAAACCAGACTCTCACTCGCTCCCCATCCTGTGACCGGTAGCCTACGGCAGACCAGGTGCTCCCGCACACGTACATCTGCAACTCTGCCGGTAAAAGAAAACATTTCACCTGTCTCCTCTTTTCCCAAGCCCCCCTCCAAAAGCGCTGCAGCCGTGTGAGAGGCAACCCCAGAAGTAGCTTGGTCACCCTACTGGAGCACCAACAGCCCTGCCAGGGTCCCACAGGCTGGGAACACCATTGTATTTCCCTGCAGAACCAAGAGGATCCCCTTCCCAGCTCCTCCCAGGTGCCTAACTGGGCACTGGGCAACTTAAACAAAAATCATACCTTCAGAAACAGTGTGAAAGCAGGTCCTTGGAGCCCTCTGAGAGCATACGTGTGCCATGCCACCACCAACGTGGAAAGAGATATTGGTCTGCTGTACGAGAAGAACAAGTCACTACCCTGCTCAGCGAGACAGGAGCCAATATTGGCACAGCTGGCTCAGAACAGGGCGTATGGGGGCAACAGTGTGGTGGAGAGGCTGCTGCTTAACTAACTCCAGCAAACCAGCGGAGGGCTGGCGTTTTGGGTGCCCTCTCGGAAAATCCAGCCATCAGGGTCACAGTGAGGGCTGCTCCGCACCGAGCTCCCTTGAAGCTCCCAGGAGAGGCCCAGCAGGCACTGGGTAGGGCACGAAGGAGAAAGGCTGAGCTTCTAGATGCATTTATAGATGCTTTTAGAGCATTTATAGCCCCTTGCTGCTCTTGGTGAAACCAATCCATATTGATAAGTGAAGTCCTCCAAGCTCCGCAAGCCCATAAAAAGCACAGGATAAGTGAGTGGGCTAAGAGAATGTGCTTTTCATCTGCTTTTGCTATGCAGTTGTTTTAACTCTTCTTTCTCTATCCCAAAGTGATAGGACACCTTTATTTCAGCAAGTATGTCCTGTGGATGTTGGAGCTGGGGCTGTTGCAGCTGGATGCCAGCAGTGAATGGGAAGTCTTTGCACACATTACTGGAGCTAGATCCGTAGTCTCAGCTGGGCCAATGACATCCCATAGCCTTCCAGGGTGCCAGGCATAAAAATCCAGGAGCCTAAAGATGCTGTAAACGCTTAGAGGCAATGAGCCATCTGAAAAGCAGGAGCGGTTCTCTCTTTCAGAAGATGGTGCTAAATTAGATGGAGATTACCGAGCCAAGAATGGTGGAGAAAGGTGAGAAAGGAGGTAGAATACCATCCTCCAGTGCTTTCCTTCCTCCCTCATCTGGTTTTCACTCCTCACCCCACCTGGGCTTCCATGAATTTCCCTGAGAAGCCTTGGATCTGTCCCATTCTGTTCCTCTAAGCCCTGGGAGCTTTGCTTGCTCTATCAAGCCATCCAAATCTGGCTGGATTTCTTCCCCAGAGTATTCATTAGCTGACTAACTCACCTCGCTGGGATTAGAGCTATCTTTGATCCTGCTGTAGTTTAGGAGACATGGCTGCATGCCACATAGCATGTCTAATTTAGATTTGCTTTGCATGCTGTGGCACGGAACCTGTGGCACGGCAGCAGCCTCTCCACCACACTGTTGTGGACCCCCCTGGGAGCCTGCTGTGAAGAAAGCAGCAGCTCCCTGCTGCAGTCAGGGAGGAACAAAACAAGTCTTTTTTTCCCTTCTTTGTGGGAGGTTCCACGGAAAGAATTCTTTGGTGCTTTTTATTCTAATGATCTCCAAGTGCAGCCTCACTACTTGATTTGCGGTTACTGCACATGAGAGATCTAACCCAGCCACAAGGAGCTCGACGAGCTAAGCTGCACCTAGAAGTCATGGCAGGCAGGTGGCCTTTCCTGGACAACTACAGCAGGGCCTGGGGAGCGTTTCTGTACCCAGAAGCTTTAATCGTCAGCAAAGCATAATTAGGGCCTGAACTGGATGAAGTGTGGAACAAGGCAAAACCAGTAGGTGGAGTGTAAGGAAGGCCATCAGGGTGGGAAGTGCTGGCCTGGCAGGATGCTGTGGGTCTGCACTGTCCTGACACCCGTTGAGGATCTTGGGATGTGAGAATTACCAGTGAGGTAGAAAACAGCGAGCAGCACCGGAGGGTTTGCACGAGTTGCTTGCAGGGTGCCTGTGCAAACCACAGCTATGCTGGTGCTTTATTTCCTTCTGCAGATATTATGGGCTGCCGCGCGCCGGCCTCACGGCAGGGCAGCCCGTCTGAGGGGTTTTTCGACTGCCTGCTCTGGAATATCTTCAAGGGCTTGAGGACTTGCCAACAATTCACCTCTCCCATTGCATACCTGTCTTTAATTGCAAACAGGACAGGCCGTGACACAACATTGGCGGGTTAAAGTTTCCATCCCCCCAGCCACACGGTCCCAAATCCCACGTGCCACCAATTTGCCCTCTAGCTTGGAAAGGCTTGTCCTCTGTGCAGGCATCTGACCCCGCACGTCTCTTCCTCCCGCCCGGGGCTGCATTTCCTCTCGTGGTGGATGCAGCTGGCTGTAGCTGGGAGAGGCGAGCCCAACCTCACATATTCATAACGCTGTCGATTTACAAGTCCTTGCCAACCTGGGAACGCGCTGAACAGCATTGACGGCGCGGGTGCCAGACGCGTGGGAGAAGTGAGGAGGGAGGGGGCTGCGATGCTGCGTCCCAGGAGGAGACATGCAAGATGCCTGCAGTTTGTCTGCAGCTGGGAGCAGGGAAATGGGTAAAGAAGGTTGAAACTCTTCTTGCCTTATGGGGACAGGGACTTTCCCCCTTGGCTTTTTGGGGGCTCTTTGTCAGTGTGTGTTTTCCCCATTGGTAAATGAGGTGACACGAAAAGGAGGTGCTGGGGAGGAAGGGGTGACTGAGGAACTAAGCACACCGAAGGGAAGAGCTATGTTGGAAATTATAATGAAAAATCATAATTTTCTGTGCAAAAGGGGAATCCAGGCAAGAAGTAACTCCCTTTCAGACTATTTTAGTAGAGGCTTGGCAGTGACTCAGATGGCAAGCACTGTTTTCAAAGAAAGGGGGGAGCTATGGTTAACTCTTCAAACACGGTTGCCTTGGTTTCCCCTTTCAGATTCAACTGGAGCACTGAAATTGCTGGTAGCATCTGTGGAGCTGGTGCCTGGGCCCTTGCTGACCCAGAGCTCCTTCCCGAAAAGCCCAGCATGCCAGGGCAGCCATGACACGACACTCTTCCAAAGCAAGTAGCAGGTTTAGTTGGGGTATAATCTGTTTGCAAGGCCAGTAGTGTTTGCTTAACTGCTTCTGGCAACGTTGACTGGAACACTGTGACCTCCCTGCTGAAGATCATATGCTGTGATGAGTGAAAAATCAAGTTTATTGCAGAATCCTAGACTACCAGCAGAAACCTGAAGCTTTAACATGCTCTAAACCACTGTTGCTGTTACTGAGATTTAAACAGAAATCATCTCTCTCCGGATTTATGTTTGCTATTTGATCTCCAGGGACATGTTTTTCAAGCTTCTAGTATTTGCTTAAAACTGAAAGTCATACCTGGATTTCTTACCCTTCTATTTTGGCTGCATAATTTTACCGTTGAGCTTCATTATACTAGGTGAAACTCAACCCTTGCTAGTCAAAAGTCAGCATTCGCAAGCCACTGGTACAGTGGGTCCAAGCATTTGCCCTGGCTGAGAACCAGAATCTGCCTATGACATCCCAGGAGCTCCAGCTGTGAACTTGGCATGAGCAAGGCTTTGCCTGCCAGCCTAGTATCTAGTCCACATGAAAGGTTTGTGACTCCATTACTCCCTACTCTTTTTAGCTTCAAATGGTGAAGACCCACATGTCTAAAATGCTGGAGAAAATTTCTCTCCCAACTCTCCCAAGTTCACAGTTGTGACAGAGTTTGTCAGGGCAGTGAGTTGGACCAACTAATAGATGAGTTTTTAGGAATACAAATCCTTGCTTGAGCCTTGCTTATGAGCACAAGTGTCTCTTGCTACAGTGGCTTGCTCTCAATCGCAGGATTTATATCTGGCTTTGAGAGCCAAGCACAAGCCTTCACGTTGCCCTAAAGCACAGCCCATGGTCTGAGTGCCCAGGTTCCTCCCCATCCTGGGCGACCCCGCAGAGCTCTGCTGGGCTGGCCTGGCCCGGGATGCTCCAAGCTCACCAAGATGCCAAAACACAGCTCCTGCGGTCTTTCTTGCAGAAGCTGGCAACTGGAGAAGCTGCGTGCGCTGCAGAGACCTTTCCAAACCCTGCTTGCTTTTTTGCAGGGAACACAAAACCACCCGAGGAACCAGCATGGGGTTTGGCCCCAGGTAGAAGCACATCGTTGGAGGCTGAACACCCGCAGCGGGACCACGGTGGCAGGCTCGACTCCTGCAGCAGAGGCCAGCAGCAGCGGTGTCCCGCGCCACAGTGCGAGGGGAGAGTGCCACCCCCTGGGTAGCCAGCACAGGGCTGCTGCAAGGAGCATGACCCGCCGAAGCGCAGGGGCTAGTTAGCAGTTTGGGCCAGGTCCGACTTGGGTTGACCCAGTCCTCAGCCTATCCTGCCAACTATGATGGAGCCAAGGGGAGATTTGCCTGCAAACTCTTTCACCTTCAACCTGCCTGAGCACCACCCGCTTTGGGAGTGGCCCAGGAGCACCTCCGCTTCCCTCTTGGACATCCTCCTCTATCCACCACACCAGGTACTCTCAGAAATCCACTTAGAATTAATATTGGCTTAATTTTTTCAGAGTGCCATCTTTAGACCCAGCCAGGTGCCCGATTATTGTTGCTCCCCCTGCATGTGCTCTCGCCCTCTTCAGCCCTGTCTTCTCCCCCAGCTTGAAATGAGCCCATGCATGCCAAGTCCAGAGAGATCTTGAATGTACAAAGCCTACTTAAGAGCCCTTCAGGATGGGCAGGTTTCTGAACACAAGAACTGCTTCTGCCCTCAACGGAAAAGACCAAACAGCCCTTGAAGCATTTTGGGCAGCCTTGAGAGAGACGTGCACCGAGGAATAAACAAATCCTATCCTTCACACCTGCCTGAAGACACAAGTAAGCTGCTTCCCAGGCACATTTGAGATTTGTGAAGGCTACTGTAGAAACTACGCTTAGGTCAAAGCTTTCCTTAGGTCAAAGCTTTCCTTAAGTCAAAGAAAAGCCAGTTACAGCCTCTACGGGATGAACGTGTCAGCATTGCAAGCCAAAGCCTGGAGGACACCTTTAACCTGGGTGATCTGCCAGCGAAAGGAACAGCAGCTGACTGCTCTAGGAAGAGAGATGTTGGGGAAAAGGGATTTTTTCAGCATTCCTCCTGCAAGGCCACCCCAGCTCAACACCAGGTTTGCCTCCTACATTTGTAAAGCTACATTTGTTCTTCCACGTTTTAGGTGTGCGACAGCTGCATTTTCCCTTGGAATGAGGCTTATTAAAACTCTGACTGGGCAAGAAAACCCAGTTAGTGTCTCCTGAAACCAGGGGAACATCTTCTAGGCTTGCTGCTAAGGCCTTGACTAAGATCTTCTCCTGATATGCTTCAGCTAGGAACTTAGAAAAAGCAAACCTGTAAAACAAGGTAGTAGTAGTAGTATTGTAGTTCAGAAGCGGTGGATTGGTCTTAAAAGGAGAAATATATAGCTATATCTTATTTTTCTAAGTAGAAAAATGAAGCATTTAATTATTTGCAAACAGACTTTAATAAAGTTCCTGTAGAACCACTTTTGCCAGAGCAAACATATCAAACCCTTTGATTGTTTCCCATACTAGCTGAAATGCACACAGAATCTTTTGTTTGTAGAAAAATCACTTTTCAAGGGATGCCAATTTTGAAGTTACGCAGCTGAAGAGCTGCTCCTTTCTTTCTTCTCTAGTGCCTTGGCCACCGCTGCTTCTCCAAGAACTCTTCTAGCGAAAGGCAGGGGAGAGCTCCACTTTAGATTAAAAAACATTCAGTTTTTTGGAAAGCCTTCCCCAGAGACCTGGCAAAAGCACCACTACAGTAGGTAGTTCTCCTCCCGCCCTTGGAAAGGGGCTCTCTTTAAAGCCTAACACGTTAGGAGGGATTATAGGATTAAATAGCTCCTAAAGGCTGGAGACCCACTTCTAGAAGACTCCCAGTAACTGTTTATTTCAAGGACAGTAATGCTGCAGTGAAAATGCACAACGCTTTCACGAGCCTCGGAGTTAGTACATCCAGAGATGCACAGAAGGCTGATCAGCTCCCTGGACACCCACGCAGGGAAGCCACAAGCGTTTTTGGTAGAAGCAAATGCTCTATTCAGTTAATTAGCTTTAGGTATGAAAAAGTTCAGATTAAGAAGAGGAGGTCGCTTTGACATTGCTCTGCAGGCAGTCACTACTCATGAAATGATCTTCACTTCAGGCTTGGACTCTTCCAGGGCTCTCAGTTCATCATCCACTTCAGAACTCCAGTAAATGTCGTACAAACTACACACAAACAAAAAGGCAAGCTGGTTTAGTGAGCATCCTCCCGTGAAGGAAAGCACAGAAGGCCACCATGGGAAGACCACACAACACGAAAGGCCCTGTCTAGGTTCGACAGTCTGACCCAACAGCCAGAAACATGCCTTACAACTCCCTCCCCAGGACCACCTTCTCCTGGTCCTTGGGCCCCACGGACCAAAGCAGATCAAGACACTGCGGTCACATCACTTGGAAGGGACAAGGAGCGTTTTGCAGCATGCAGATGGCATTTGACCCCCCTCGGGTGCAACTCCCAGAGAGCCAGCGCTCCCGGCACTCTCCCCGCAGCCCCCTCACTCGCTGGAGCTCACAACCTGCCAGGGGCAACGCAAGCAGGACCACAAACACCCCTCACATTAAATGCTTCATGTGGCAGCTGGGGTTCCTCAAGGCTTCACAGAGCTTCCTGATGCCTTCATCTCCCAGATGGTTGTAGCTCAGGTCCAGCTCGGTAAGGCACGGGTTGGTAGTCATGACAGTGGCGAGGGTCGCACAGCAGGCTGCCGTGAGATTGCAGTTACCCAGCCTGGGGAGGAGAGAGAGGCCAGTGCAGTCAGCGATGGCTCCAGAGACCAGCCCACCAGCCCGCACCCGGGCAGCAGGCACGGACATCCCTGGCATAGATCAGAGATCCCCATTAGGCTGCCATCTCCGAGACGTCAGCAGGGGCTGGTCCCTGGTCTTCCCACCGAGACAGCTGTCCACATGGTGACTGCTGAACACCTGAAAGTCCTCCCGGAAGATTAACAGTGTATGGCTACAGGGGGAGAAGGAACCCTAAGAAGATATACCCAACTTACAACGTCATGCATAATCTTCTCTTTGGATTAAACTGATCATAAATCATCTCTGAAGTTTATTACTTGAAACTTGCGACCACCTCTCTAAAAAGGGTAACTGAGGCCTCTCAGCTGGGAGCCAAGTAGCTTTAACTGGTCAGCAAACATATCTTTCTGGGCAGAGACGTCAAGTCTCACTGATGTCTCGCATGACTCATCTGCTTAACTCACTCACTGTGAGTCTTGGGCATCGGAGCACAGCTCCGGCTTCTCTCCGATGGCAAGGAGGAGGCAAGCACAGCGCCCTGAGCATCACACAGGCCGCAGCCACACCAGTCCAGAGCTCAGTGCCCACCTGGGAAGGGAACAGGCAGACGGGGAAGGCGAGTCCCACCATAGGGCTGGAGGTGATGCTCCAGCTGGCCTCCTGATTGTGCCAGCACCCACAGAGACTACAGAGAGCAGGAGGCAACTAGCAAATTCAGGCAGGCTTGAGAACTAACACGCCAAACCTGGACCAGCAGTTCCTCCATCTCAGGGTCCCACCTGAGACAGGCCCTGTGGGCGAGTTCAGAGAAGGGCACAAGAAGCTCTACAGTGAGCAGCTCGCAGCACAAGGCAAGAGCCCTCCAGCCTCCCCACACTTTGCTTTAGATACTGAAGGTATGCTGCATCATGAACTTTCAGTTCTGCACCTGGGAGAGTGCCCATGGACGGCTATGAACGCACTGTCACGAGAAGACAGCCTTGTGAGAGACCATGAGTGACAGGATACATGGAAGCACTTGTGGCTTCCATTTACTTGCTAGTGGACTAGTTAAATATCACTTTGTGGCGTGAATTGTTTCACGTGAGCAAAAAAATACCACCCTACCATCTAACGCTATCTTCCGCTCTCTGAATGCCATTCGTGCAAGGGTAACACAGCAAGACAGAAGAAACTTCCGAGGGTGCACCTTACCATAGGGACTGAATGTTGCAGTTGGGGTGCAGCAGCCCTTCACATATGACTTCAACACCTGCATCTCCCAACTTGTTCTCGCCTATGTACAGTACTTTCAAGTGCTTGTTCACACTCAAAGTCGAGCTGACAGCCTTGCAGCAAGCAGTCGTGAGCCCACACTCCCTAATCCTGCAAGGCAAAAGTGACATGAGATCCAGGTGGGGGATCTAGAGAGTATCAGGCACTGTTCACCTCTTCACATTTGCTTCACAGGAGCCCAGAGAGTGGGACCAGAGGAACCAAAGCCTTCCCACAACCACTGTTCTCCTCTCAACGCCCTGTCTGCTCAATCCTTCCTCAGTAGCACCTCCCACTCTTTCTATTTGGGATGTCTGCCTCAGAGTGTGCACCTAGGAAAGGCACCTGCCCGTCAAGCACAGGAATGACCAGAGACAAAGCGTGCTGCTCTCACCGTCACTCTCAGATCCACCGGGCACTCCCGAGACACCTCATCAACTCCCAGGGCAGGGAAGAACCCAGCTGGGGGCAGGAGCTGAACTTGCCATGTAGGAAAGTCCGAGTGATGCTTGTTCAAGTTCTATGGGCGAGAACCAGACCATCCCAGCCTAAAAGTTAATGCTGTCAGCAGAGAGGATGCTGAGCATGGTTTATGTCATTCTTTTGGCTCGTCAATGACAGAGCTTGGATCCTGTGGGAAACCTGAGATACCTATCACAGCACTCATTTCACTGCTATGTGAGGCCTTTCAAACTTCAAAAGCCTCTTAGCTGCCATTTGTTGCATGATAAAATACATTAGACAGAAGCTCTGCAGGTGATGCTTGGGCTCCTGTTGCTTATAATAGGATAACTATGGGGCACATCTTCAAAGTGTCTACGAGTTCAGAAATACAAATCCCTTTAGCTCTGTAAGCCTAAACCCTTTAAGTAACAGCCGGCACGAGTTGTTCGTGGAACCATTGCAACTGAGGATCTATCTGGTGGGCATTACTTCACCTACATCTTCCTTCAGTGAGGTCTCCAAGGAAGGCTGTGGACATGTGAAACTTGACAGCAGCTCACCATAGCTCCTGGAGTTTAGATTTGGGATCCTTGAGTGCTTGACACAGCATTTCCATCCCTGAGTCTCTCAGGTTATTGTCTATCAGACTTATCTCTGTGAGGGTCTCTTTTGTGCTGATGAGTCTGGAGAGATCTTTACAGCTAGCAGTTGTGAGATCACAGTCCCATAACCTGCAGGGAAGAACAAAATATTATTTTCCGCCAACAATGACTTAAATTAGAAAACACAATCCTATTTTAGCATTCTGAATTTCTAGTTACATCATCTCATTTTCTTCTATCCTTTACAAAAGCCATTCATACATCACACCACACAGCTTTCTCCTCACTTTCCATCTACTGCACCAAAAGCTCTATTTGTAGCACAAAAAAGAAATAGGAACATGCAGTTCAGGCAGATAGATAACTCAACGGGAAGCTGAGACAATGCCATCAGAGATTCCCATTCACTCTCTCTCCCCAGAATCTGATCCACGCCGGTTCAGGGCGGTCCTGCTCGGCCGTGGTGTCCTCCACCGAGTTCTGAGAAGTACCTAATCTGCAGCAGAGACGTTCTCGTTTCACTAGGGGGTGTAACAGAGAAACTTCCCGCTGAGGAGCAAAGCAGCAGCACAAGGTAGGTAGCTCAGGGGCTCCAGGAGGGATTTAAGTAACCTCTGCCTACCCTTACCAGAGCTTCTGGATTTTGCAGTTAGGATGCATCAGCCCTTGGCACAGCAGAGCCAGACCGGAGTCCCCGATCTTGTTATCCCCAACGGAGAGATCTACTAGCGACGACTTGCTACTGAGAACAGCACTGATCTCCCGACAGCTATCGCTGGTTATGCCACAGTTCTCCAGGCTGCCGAAAAAAGCACAGTTGGAGTTGCTCCAGTCCCGCTGTGGCAGATACACCCCAACACCCCCAGTTCAGACTGAGAAGGGTCTATGGGCTGGTGCCCTGCTGCAAACCAGTGCAGCTCAGCTGGGCATTGCTAGACCCTGCAAGGCTCAGAGATGATACAGGTATCCTGGATGGGCTCTGGGTGAGGCAACGCACCACTCCTGCACGCCACATGACTGCAGGGCACTTTTACTCTGACCCACCTGCTCACATCCCTTATCACAAGGATCAGTTTTGCCAAACTCCCCCTTTATATCGACTGTCCTCTTCCGGAGGGACTTTTGGCTGTACCACACAGCAAGACCCTGGCAGCCAACCCCTGCTGAAGCACAGGGGCAAGAAAAAACGAATCGTGCCTCTCCCCTAAATCCCTTCAGGGGCTTTACCCCCGATACGAGGCCAAATCCAGCATCTCCACTTTGAAGTAAAGGAGGGATATGAATATACTCAGCTGCTGGTAATTCAGGGGTAAGACCTGGTGCTACTGAGGGGATTGCTCCTCTGCTCTGAGATACTGGCGAGCAGCCACACTTCGTAATTGCAGGTTTAACTTGGGATACGTGCTTACGCTGTACCAGCAGGAGTAAGAGTGAGCTCAGTATCACAGGCCACATAAAAGACCAAAACCCCCAAACCTGAGAGCCCCAGACATTTTCTTGCAGTTTCCAGTTACAGAAATCTGAGCCAGCAAAAAATATGTCCTAAACTTCAAGCATTCCTGAGAATCAGTTTTCCTGCCTTATAGATGGTACAACTAGCAGCAGGACTAGTTGCAGTTAGAGATGACCAGCTCTTCCTTACTGTAGTAACTCTAGGTTGCAGCTTGCCTCCACCAGTCCCCGGCACAGCTGCTTCACAGCTGTATCTCCCAGCGTGTTGTTACTCAGGCTGAGCTCCTTCAGGGTGGGCTTGCTTTGCAGAGCAGCATTGAGAGCTTCCACAATATCAGCTGTGAGCTCGCAATACTCCAGCCTGCAAGAAGGAAAGAAGTCCAGGGGAAAAACAACCACCTTCACCACGTCCTGCTACCTGCAAGACATTGGCTGGGCAAAGCGTGTATTATCATCCAGGGCAGAAAACATGCCAACAATGAGTTGAGACCAGGCAACGCAGATAATCATAAGAGGTTTTAACAGCATCTCCCTGCTCATTTCAGGAAGTGTAAATTCTTAAGCTAGACCCTAGGGGACCGCAGCAAGACTAATTACCCACCCCAGTTTTACACTAGTCCTCTGTTAAACCAATGCACAGGCTGCCTTAGAACACACAGCGTGAGTTTTGCATTGCAACACATCACACAGCTTCACCACCGAGCCTTCCCAGGAGGAGCTGGGGACTGCCAATGGACCTGGGTCCTGCTCAGCCATAAAACAAGAACCAAGGGCAGCAGAATCAGACTTTCCCTGGATGTCTGAGAGGTCCTGCATTAACAGCCACCACTGCCAGGAGGGCTAAACAAAGCCTATGGGAACAGACACCCACTCACAAACCCATGAGACTTACTAGCATGAATAAGCATGAGACAATTTCAGGTAAAACAGGAAGAAATCCACATCTGGTGACAAAACTCCTGCTTGCCTCAAGGGAAAGACAAGCATGACCCACCTGATGACCAGAAAAGCCCAGTGCCTACTTACTGCAGCTTCTGCAGCTTACAGTTGGGGTTCATCATCCCTTGACACAGCACCTTCACTCCAGCAGTTCCCAGTTTGTTGTCACCGACATGCAGCTCCGTCAGGGATGGCTGTGCACTGAGGACGGAGCGGAGAGTCTCACAGCTGGCACTCGTCAGATTGCAGTTCTGCAGCCTGGAGGAGAAAGACCACCAGGGTGAGGGACAGGCAGCCCCAGCATTACAGAGGCTCTTCTCAGAGAGGTGCATCTGCTGAGGCAGGAGCTTGGAAATGACACCGTGGCACCGACACTGCGTAATCCTCTACACAGCAGTATGTCCAGGCTAGTGCTGCTATTTTACAGGTGTGCCAAAACATTTTATCAGCTCCTATCACAGCTGTAGCACAAACAACAGCTCCCATGCTTCCTTCAATGTAATCGCTCACAAACACTTCTAGCAGAAGAAGGAGCCACCTGACGTTAAGGAACACCGCAGCTGCTTTATAGAAGTGTTTTAATCATCACAAGACTTATCCCAGAGACAAAGCAATGGTATCTTACGATTTCTTGCCCCCTCTGGAAATGTGATCTGGAATAGCTAAAAGTAAAAATCTCATCCAACTTGGCTTATATCCCTGGATATAATTTTGAAGTTTAATGTTATACTACAACAGGATCTATGAAGCTGATCCTTCAGCACTCAGGCTAGGAGAAGTAGCACAGAAACCATGCTAGTATCGCTATGGGATGGTTAGGGTTATCAGACAAGACTTCCTGGCAATGGAGGGGTGTTGTGCCTGGTGGTACTACATTTTAGTTGGGTTTGGTTGCTCTTTCATTCCCTAAGGCACCTTACTTGAACCTCAAAAGTGGATAATTTTGTTTCTACAGAACTGAAACAGCCTAATCCAGGCTGTTAACTTGGAGCATCTGGAGAATTCTGAAGCTTAGCTCAGACTCTGAAGAATTACTAGTGTTAGTCTTCCAGTAGAGAGTATCACAGTTATTCCTTGAAGGCCCGTCAGAAAGTTGCAGTTTGATTAGCTTCACAGTCAACTTTCCCTCTATTTGTCAGTGAGTCCTCATTGCAGGGGGCGTAGGGACTCTGAAGCAGGCATACTGATCTAAAAGGCAAATGACTTTCAAAAGGTAGTGTCATGAAGGTCCTAGACCCACCTCAGGAGCCAGAGGACCTTCAGAAAAGATGCCGGAGAGAGAAGGCAGCATCTCTTTGAGGGTCACTGAGGAGCAGGGGCAGCAGCCGCTGGCTTTGACTAGAGCTCCTGCACCGTGGTTGCTGAGTGAAGCCCCCTGATGCTATAACAGGGTGCTGGTGCCTCTGCAAAACGCGCTGTCTTGAACTAAGGTGGTCCTGCCCAACTGAGAAAACAAGGCCTGAGGCAGAGCCAGTCTGGTAACGCGCAGAAAGACAGACAGCTCCTAAAACGCCAAGGCTCATGAGAACACCCTTTTGCTTGGCTCCTAGAGAAAGGAGCGAGCAAACTGGACCAGATGCTAAATGCTGTGCTCACAACTGGCAGAAGAACCCTCCGAAAAATGCATTTGGGAAAAAGTCAGGTACATGCTGACGGCAGAGTGGGGCCCTCTGTGGTCGCCCTTTTGTTTAAACCGGCCTAAACAGATAATCCAGCTGCCTAGGCTGGGGCAACATCTGCTACCTTTTCCAAAGAAAGTCTTCAGAAAGCCTTTGTTTCACAGGGAAAACCCTACCTGTCCTTCCCTCGGTGCTGGAAGACAAAGGAAGACTGAATGATGATCAGGAGTCTTCCAATAAATATACCACTTAGATAAAAACTTGTGGGGTTTTCCAACCATCTGACCTAAGCAACTGCTGAGGTGCATCGGCTCTTACTACTATCACATACTAGCTTGCCTCATGATTTCACCAGCAGCAGACTGCAAGCCTGTTAGAGCAAGACAATTAACTGGGTTTTACCATAACTTCTGTAGGCTACAGCTTGGCATCAGCAAGCCTCTACACAGGTGTTCAATGCCTGCATCTCCCAGTTCGTTGTTGTTCAGCTTCAGCTCCGTGAGGGCAGGATTCGTATGGATGATGGAGGAGAGATCCTCACAGTTACTGCTGGAGAGATTGCAGTCATCCAGCCTGAAAGAGGAGAGAAGGAGCACTTTAGCCCCCTGGGTTGCTCTATTCTCCCTGGATGGGGCATTCCCTGTGAAAGCAAAGTGGGCGATTTACTCCTCCGCAGTCCCTGGGATGCCCCCGTTAAGTATGTGCGCAGTCTGTTGGGCGACACGTGGCCCAAGCCAAGACGCACCCCTTCTGCAGGGCTGCAGTACAGGAGGGGCTGGTGGCAGGTCACCAAGCCACGGACCTCCCCTGTGCTGCGCAGAAGAGGGCACGTGACTCAAGTCATCCCCCTCTTGGCAGAGCTTCAGCTGGAGATGTGCCTGCATTGCAACATTGAGAGCGACAAACTACCTGGTGTCTGAAGCCATGTCTAACCAGAGGCCAGCTTACAGGCTGTCAGACTGGTTCTGCACTGGGACCAGCCAAGCTGGGTCTTCAGCCAGCCCCAGAGACACCCACAGGCAGTCTGGTCTCTCGTGGGTGACACCAGCCCGTCTGCACAGTCTCTCTCCAGCATGACTCTCAGTGGACAAACTGGGAGTTTGCAGTGTGGCAGTGCCTTCTCCCACTGGACATGAGCATTTTTCTAGTTGTTGATGGGGTGGAATGGAATTGGAAGGAGTGCCAAGGCAAGAACCAGGGGCCCAGGACAGGCAGGGAGGTGTACAGGGAGGCAGAAAAGACATGGGGCAAAAGGAAGGTGTCAGGTAGAACCCCACAGCCCCAGGCAGAGCCACAGCCAGGACTGTCAAAAGTTGCCTGGCCACTTCCCCTTAGACAGCACTACGAAAACTGAGGTCTGGGAGGCTTCTCCTTCTCTCCCTGAGGCAAGAAGACTTGGCCCCCAACAGGATCGTGTTCAACACTGATTACCACTCCCTGCTGCAGCAGCACAGGAGACAAGCATCCCACAAAGCTCGCCTGCAAAAAGCTCCTCTGTGAAACAAAAGCAAGCCCCCTTCCCCCTGCCTGGCCTCCTCCAAGCCATCGCTGGCTTCATGCGGCCATCCCCTCCAGCCCAAGCAAGACAGAGACAGTCCACGGGGTGAGAATTACCAACCAGTAGCAGGGGACGAGCGTGGGAAGGAGCAACTCTTCTGAACCCTGTCCTGCAACTTACACTCCAGGAGATGGTTCCCTCACACTGGTTTGCTCAACGCACAAGGCAGGTACATTTGAAAGCCAAGCGAGGATTAAAAGCTGATGGCGCGTGGCTTGTGCATGACTGAAATAACAGTTACTTGACAGCATCTGACCTGCAGCCCAGAGATGTGCAACCTACACAGGGAGATGTCTTCCCTCTCCTGAGGGAGAAAGAGGAAGGCAGGATTACCAAAACGGAGGTCAAATGTTTCGATAACCACACTACTGAGCTGAGGTCTACAGCACACCGTAGAACAAGGGCAGCATACTGCATGCTAAAAGATGCTTGTCTGTGGTTGAAAAAACTTTGCAAGAGGGTGGGGTTTCCCCCCCACCCTTTAAATTAACTTTCTGGATAAAACCAGGTAAAATCATTCCTGTTACCGTGCAATTTCCAAGTCATAGGTCAACAGTTCTGCAGCTGAAAAACACGGGAGAGAAACACAACAGTTCCTACTCAGAAGAGATGATACAGAACTAGTTACTACCTGATGGTTTTGCAGGATTTCATTGTGGACACAAGTTCAGCCCACCTAGATGGGCTCATCTCCTCACACTGGATGTCAAGCTCCATTTTGACAGTTGAGATCAGACCTGAAAATGGAAAAAATTATTTAAAAATCCAACTTATTTGTTTTACTGACTGAGAAATAACAAGCCCCTTCAAACCACCCCCAGCTCTCAGCCACGAGTTACACTGTGCAAAGAGGACGGATTGTGTTTTCCCAACACCAGCTTGCTGCAAGCACCAGTACAAGCCTCTGGGACCCTCCTCCTCAAGGCAAAAGCACACGGATCTTGGAGAGATATGGCAACAGCTTGTTATCTGAAGGCTGCTTGCACAAGAGGGAGATGCTCCCCTTCCCCCTCCAAGGGAGCTTACCCAGAACGAGCTTTTTAGAGGCACTGGTGGCACTCTTACTATTGCACTGCTGAGCCCCGCAGCCGCTGAGCATGGAACACCTGACTGATTGTGGGACCTCAACCCACGCTTAAAATTAGGGTATTGTTGAGAGAATGAAGAAGATGAGCATGAGAAGTGCCTGGGCTCAGATTAACAATCCTGCAGGCCACGTGTCTGTGTGCAAGAGGTGGAACCCTGGCAGGTGAGAGAAGGGCTCCTGCATGACCTGACAGCCAAAGGTCGCCCTGGTCAGGCGAGCCCAAATACAGAGAAATTGGTAAGCAGGAGTTGAGGTTTTTTTTTTCTTTTGCTGGACAGCCAAACTGCTTTTCTGACCTGACCTAAACACAGCCCCTTACAGAGCAGCTCCAGACAAGCACGCACAGAACTAAGCCAAGGCCAAGAGCTGAGCTGCAAGGGGCAGCGTGAAAGGCAGCACTCTGGGAGGTGGCGAAGCACAGCCCTGGTGTCTTGGCCTTGCTAGCATGACTGAGACTACTGTAAAAAAAAAAAATATATATATAATCCCTTGAGCTACCACATTGGAATGTGAACAGTAAAAAAAAAAAAAAAAATAAAAAAAAAAAAATGACGTGGTAAAAAGCAGCGCTGGCCCCAACAGTGGAAAAAAGTGACGGAGCAGCCCAAAGGGAACCCCTGGCAGAATTCAGCAAACGCCTCCCCACCTCCCTCGCTCTATTTCCCCCCGTTTTCCTTCTCAGAGCAAAAAAGGGCCGTTTCCCGCCCCCCAGGGCTGCACCGTCCAGCAGGCTGAGGGGGTCCCCGTCCCCAAGCCCCGGCCCGGTCCTACCCCTACCCCCGCCGC